TACAAAGGCACAAACACCAATTTACCAGGGAAGTTACTGCCAAAACACCACCCAAGAACATCTCACCACTGCATACAAAAGCAATCTTGAGATAATCCTCTCATGGATGTCCTCAGATGCAGCCACAAGCAAAGGTTATAACTACACCAGCATAGGAAACAAAAACACCGTGTATGGCCTCTACAATTGCCGTGGTGACGTGGTTGGATACTTTTGTCAATTCTGTGTCTCTAATGCTGCCAGAGAAATTCCTCAGCACTGCCCCAATAGGGTGTCTGCTATGGTGTGGTATGATTTCTGCATTCTGAGGTACTCAAATGAAAACTTCTTTGGGAAAATTCTTACACACCCAATATGGCACGCTGTTGAAACAAAAAACATTTCCAACAAAGAAGAGATTAAGAAAGGTGAGGATTTTATGAGAGGCTTGATCAGAAAAGCAACTGTAGAGACCAACAAGTTGTATTACATGGATGGCTTCAATTTGAGTTTCACTCAAGAAAGGTATGGGTTGGTTCAATGCAGTAGAGATCTCACAAATGATGGGTGCAGAGAGTGTTTGGAGGCCATGTTAGCAGAAGTTCCGAAATTTTATGAACAAAAGTTAGGATGGTTCATTTGGTCTGGAACTTGTATGATAAAGTATGATGACTATATGTTCTACCTTCTTAACAACCAAACATCTTCAATTTCTGTGTCAAATCCGGAAACAGGTGAATCTGAATATGATAACAGTACATTTGGAATATTTTTTATTTAGTTTTAAAAATTTATTTTTTATGTTGTTGCAGATAAACATGGAGGTAAAAACAGGTCAAAAATCTTAATCATGAGCTTCTTCTCTGTGATGGGGTCAACAACCCTTCTATGTTTGGGTGCATATTTCTTTTGGTACAGAAGAAGAGGTAGAAAAGATAATTTCCTGCAGTTTCTCCTACTTAAATATGGCTATTTTGTTCAAATAAGACTCAGACACTTGTCTGTGTAGATGGGATCCGGCTGTCATCATTTCATAAAATTCAGACTGAGGAAATGTTGAACACTGACCTGCCTATAATCCCATTAATCACAATTCTGCAGAGTACTGATAACTTTTCAGAAGCATCTAAATTGGGGGAAGGTGGATTTGGTTCCGTTTACAAGGTTTTCATCATTTGAATTTATGAAAGATATTATTTATTGCTTCCATCTATTTCTATGATTCTTTTATCCCAAACTTTTATCAGGGGATTCTACCAGATGGAAGACAAATAGCAGTCAAAAGGCTGTCAGAATTTTCTGGTCAAGGTTCAGAGGAGTTCAATAATGAAGTAATGTTTATAGCTAAATTGCAACATCGAAACCTTGTAAGACTCTACGCATGCTGCTTGGAGCAAAACGAAAAGATACTTGTATGCGAATATATGCCAAACTCAAGTCTGTACTTTCACCTGTTTGGTATGTTTTCAGATTCCTTCAATGATTCTTTAGTAAAAGTGCCTAAGGTAGTTTGTGTAGTCTGTACTTTCCTCTTAAACATAGTTTAAGTTCAAAATTTGTATCAGTTAAAACGTCAACTGAGGGTTTTAATTGTTGGGTTCTTTCAAAGGGAAGAGTGGGAAATGCTATAATATATTTGATTTTTTTTCCGTGCTAAGGCAAATACTTAGCATTTGCTGTTTTGCTAAATGGCTAGTGTTGTTTAAATCCTTCTATCTTCTTGAGTTGACAGATGATGAGAAAAGAAAACAACTTGATTGGAAACTAAGATTAAGCATTATCAATGGAATAGCAAGAGGTCTGCTATACCTTCACGAGGACTCTCGACTCAGTAATTCATAGAGATCTCAAAGCTAGCAATGTTCTATTAGACCATGACATGAATTCCAAAATATCAGACTTTGGATTGGCAAAGGCATTTGAAATTGGACAGAACCAAGCAAATACAAAGCGAGTAATGGACACTTTGTGAGTTTTACTTATACCAAACATAACCTAACAGTTGGACTTGTGAATGCTTATTTCAGAAAAGATTAAATTCCTTGTTATAAACTTGAAACAAGAGACATTAACAAATCTCTATTGACTTGCATTAGTGGATACATGGCTCCTGAGTACGCTATGCAAGGATTGTTTTCAGTGAAATCTGATGTTTTCAGCTTTGGAGTTCTAGTTCTGGAAACCATTTGTGGAAGAAAAAACAACGGATTCTATCTGTCAGAGCATGATGAAACTCTTCTTTTATACGTGAGTCATCCCTTTGGTCTGATTAACAGTTATCATCAATACTTACTAACAGAAGTATAACAGTATCATTCACAAGTTAACTAAAAATAATTGCAGGCTTGGAGAATATGGTGTGAAGGAAAATGTTTGGAATTGATGGACCCAATGCTGGAAAATTCCTTCAAAGCCAGTGAAGTTGAGAAGTGCATACACATTGCATTGTTGTGTGTTCAAGAAAATGCAACGTACAGACCAACCATGTCAGATGTTGTTGTAATGCTAGGGAGTGACAGATTGACCCTTCCAAAACCCAAGCACCCAGCATTTTCTGTTGGAAGAAGGTTCTCAGAGGAAGTACCAAAATCAAAAAGATCCAAGAATCTTCTTAGTACTGTTGTAACAATCTCTATTACTTTACCTAGGTAATGTATAATTACAAAAATGATTTGTCTCCTCAAAAGTAACATTAGAGCTGTATTTAACAGAAATATAAATGTAGTATCACACGCATCATTGTTATCAATGATTGAGATTTACACGTGTAGTTACTTATTTAGACATATAACACTTCAACAAATAAGAATATTGTATAATCATTCAGCATCTCTTATTATATAGTATATATATGAATACTATGGGATATTTTAATGGTAGGACTCTTTTATTCTTCGAATAATATGAAGAGCAGTCACATCAACTAGTGTGATGTGCATCTCTTCTCAAAATTCTAATAATTTGTATGTGTTCATTAGGTTCAATGTGTGTTCCAATAAGTGCTCTCTGTATATATATGCTTGGTGATTGTGTTTGTCCTGATATATGGTATAGTAATGTTCTTCTAACTTTGTAACTATACCCTGTATTAGATCCTTTTAACTCTTTTGGTTACTGATTTCAGTTTATAAAAATTCACTGGGGAATTATTATGAGATTAAATAAGCATTCAATGGTTTGTGGCACTTGATGAGAACTAGTGATTACAAAATTCATCCGAACTGAACACTGATTCATATTCTATCTGTCTCTTTGGAATTGCATCATCGCCTTTCAAATTCCTTTGTTTTTCTACATATTGGTTCTCTCAATGGTAGTTGCTTTCTTCAATTTTTTGGTCACTTTTCAAATGATATTGGTATCACTTTTCTTCCGAAAGGAATCTAAAAGTTTTTGCGTGCCCATAGGAAATAGGAGTCTCATTTTTTGATTAAAACAACTTCACACATTCATAATCTCCTCTTTTTCTTATAACCCAAATAAGTATGAGTTGGTGGTGGCTGTCGCCTGTTTGTGAAAATGATTGGGAGAGCCATGGAGTGGAGCACAATAGCCATGGGTTTGCAAAGAAAAACAGGATATGGTGATGCTTATTACAAAATATATATGAAGTGAGTTTTTCGTGCCTGAAAATTGGGGGATAACACTCTTTATTAAGAGCTTCATATTCGTGTTAAGTTACCCTGTTTGGTATTGTAAATATTTTCTTGTTATTCTGTTATCATGGTATATCCTGTGAGTTTGAGGCTATTTTGTTCTCATAACAATTTTTTCCTTCTCTGTTTTCAGGAGCAAATATTGGGCTATGTTCATTACTGACAAATATTTTTGTTTCCACTTCCTACTTGAACATATATGAATATTTGTTTTTTGATTTTTCTCCAAGATTGCTCTTTATGAAGTGTACATCAGCTTGAACCTTAAAAGAGTACATTATTGATAATGGAACTGTGAATAGGTTGTAGATGTGCATGCTGGCTGGAACAAGTTTTGCAGGTTATGACTGGTCAGGTGGTGGTGTGTCGATGCTGAAGATTTGTGAGGTGACACGCAATGTTCTACGAGGAGAATAAATGAAATCAAATACAGAATTGTTCATTACCTCGGTATAGTAACAGAGGTTGTTACATCATTAATGGAAAGATTCTTGGAACTGTTTGATGTAGAGAATTCCACTAAGGTCATTCTTCCAATCGAAAAGGGTTGGTGCTTGGGTTTTGGAAGGACCATTCCCTCACTTGCCAACATCACAACAACATCAGACATGGTTGATCTATCTTTTGCATCTTCTTGAACACATAACAAACCAATCTGTATGCATCTCTCAATTTCACTACCTACGAAGGAATTTTCCAGCGTTTGTTAATATTCTTCAAGCCTACAAGTATTTCAAGTTTGTTAATATTGTTAAGCATTAACTTGAATTGTTGAACAGTTTCTTGGCCATGTATAACTGAGGAGACTTACATACAAGAAGACTCTGATCTGAGAGATAGAATCCGCTATTCTTTCTCCCGCAAATGACTTCTAGAACTAGAACTCCAAAGCTGAAAACATCACATTTCATTAAAACCAGTCCTTCCATAGGAAACATGTATCCACTAATTCAAATCAATAGAGCTTTATTATTTGCCATGTCATGAAAATAAAGAATTTACTTTATCAATATTACATGCTTAATGATTCGTCCATAAACCTTTGTTGGAATTTTGTAACTCAAACAACATTTGGTTGAAAGAGTCAAATTAGTTAAATAAAAATATATTTCTATCATATTTTTTAAGAGGATTTTATTAATTATTTAATTAATTAGTTTAAGAGATATTTCTCAAAATCAGTTACAAATTCTGTAGTATAAATATTTATTGTTTATATTCAATAAAATATATTAGTTTCTCTTTCATTCTTTTGTCTCTTATACTTTAAAACCCAACAATTGGTATCAGAGCAAAAAGGATCTTACGGGATCTGTGATATAACCCACAAACATCTACAACCACAAAATAGCCACCACACATACGATGGAATCTCAAACATCCTTTACTACCGTTTTTGTGCCTGTATTTGATGGACTAAACTATCAAATGTGGGCTGTCAAAATGGAAGCAAATTTAGATGCTAACGATGTGTGGGAAGCGGTAGAAGAGGACTACGAAGTACCTCCCTTGCAAAATAATCATACATTTGCTCAAATGAAAAGTCACAAAGAAAAGAGGCTTCTAAAATCCAAAGTCAAATCAATTTTGTTCACAACCGTATCTCTAGTCATTTTCAACAGAATAATGGCGTTGAAAACGGCATATGAAATCTGGAAGTTTTTTTTACGGAAGAGTATGAAGGCAGTGAGAGAATAAAAGGAATGCAAGCTTTGAATCTGGTTTGAGAACTTGAGATGCAGAGGATGAAAGATTTGGAGATAATCAAAGATTATGCGGACAAGTTTCTCGGCATTGCAAACAAAATACGTCTTCTTGGCACTAGGATTCCTGATTCTCGAATTGTTCAAAAAATACTTGTAACAATTCCAAAAAGATATGAAGCCGCATTGACTTCCTTGGAGAACTCAAAAGATCTTTCTACTATTACCTTGGCAGAACTTTTGACCACACTTCAGGCTCTAGAACAAAGAAGACTCATGAGAGATGAAGATCATATTGAAGGGGCTTTGGTAGCTAAATTTCTAAAAACAAGGGTAAGTTAGGAAGTTTCAACCACAAAAATGATAGCAAATCCTCTCATCTTTTTCCATCTTGTCCTTTTTGTAAGAAAAACAATCATCCACATATAAAGTGTTGGTGGAGGCCAGATGTGAAATGCCATAAATGTGGACAATTAGGGCATGTGGAGAAAAGCTCCAAGTCATAGAAAACACAAGAGAATGTACAAGCTGCTATTGAAGAGAGTGAAGAAGAAGAACTTTTTAATGTTTCTTGCTTTGCTACTGCAACATGAACAGAAAGTTAGCTAATTGATAATGGTTGTACGAACCACATGACTTACGATCAAGAATTATTCAAAGATCTTGATGCAACATACAACACAAATGTTAGAATTGGAAATGGAGCAAAAAATAGCAGTGAAGGGCAAAGGAACCATCGCGATCTAAGGTTGCACAGGTTTGAAATTAATTACTTATGTTTTATATGTTCCTGAAATTAACCAAAACTTGTTGAGCGTTGGCCAACTTCTAGAGAAAGACTATAAAGTTCTATTTGAAGATAAAACCTGCATGATTAAAGATTCAGATAATAAAGAATTATTCAGAGTTCAAATGAAAGGCAAAAGCTTTGCATTGAATTTGATTAATGAAGAGCAGTTTGATGTGCACAAGGTTGAAGACAACATGCAAGTACAAGGGTTGCCTGAATTGGAAGAAAAATCACCCGTATGCGCAACTTTGCAATATGGAAAACAAACAAGGTTGTCTTTTCCAAAAGACAAATCTTGGAAAGCAACAAACTCCACACTATCTGAGTTCAACAACCATTTCTAAATCTCATCCCCAACTAACTGTATGGTCTACCATTCATCCACTGACACAACGAAAGATGAAGAAGGCAAATGATTCAAGTCAAAGGATAATTTAAATGTGTGAATAACTTCACTAGCCAATACCCCACCAGTGTGCCATCGCCGACACTCATCCACTAGTTCCCTATTTTCTGGTCCTGATATTGGTGTTACAAAAGAAAATGAACAAAACTGAAAAAGTTAACACGTAATTTGCATGTGGAAGAAGAAACATGAACCTTCCAAATCAGGATGGTGATGTCGTATTGGTTAGAATCGTAGGATGAAATGGGGGAAATGACAGCTCCAATGGCTATTCTATTGTTTGCTTGCACAAAACCAGCATAGAAAAGGTTATAGCATCTTGTTGCCTGATATGAATCACTCTGCATAATCCACAAAATCATCACCCTCACAAATATTTTTTGCATCTAAACATCATTATGATAAATCAGAATAGAAAATCTTTAGAGTGGTTAATAAAATGATTATAGTGTGATTAAGGGAGAGATGCTGATCGTCCAATAAGTGAATAATATTGGCCTGGTCAGTCGCAGAGATGCAAGCAAACGAACCATCAGAGTAGAACCTTGAACCTCGTCATCATAATCCTCTTGAATCAAAATCGCAGGCTGGTCAGTGATGTAATCCTACCCGACGTAGTCCTTGTTTAGTATTTTTACCTTTTATAGGTTAGCTTGTAAGGAGCATGGGTTACTATAAATACTCGTCTCCATCACTGTATCATTCACTTTTGAGCTTAATGAGAATTTGATTTTCTGACCTTCAGAAATAATTCTCTCTTGAAAGTCACATGCTATAGAGTCCAAAGACTCCCTCTAGCCATCTTCCAAGCACACTCTCTCACTTCCATTTTCCCATTTCCACGGTGCTTCTCTCTCATCACACAACACCTCCATTGCTCCAATCCGCTTCAGTGGCGTCAGCGCCTTAGCCACGCGTCCTCCTTTGTCTCGCGTACAACATCACTACCTCTTCATTTCACTGCCACGAGGAATATTTCATTTCTCACCACTTCTCTCTCACAGAACCACGTCTCTCGTCCAATTCTCTCTCGAGAGCTCATCCTCGCGAGCCTTCTGCTTTCATCACTGTAAGCTTCAACACTCATATATTTTTCTCAGGTTTGCATTCTCTCTTTCCGCATCTCCTGACCACATCTAAACCTAGGGTTTCTTCATCATTTTTTGTCTTTTCCTGCCATTATCACCATTTGTTTTTGATTTCCACCAGCTAAACCCTCCTTTGCTCCGATCAAACCCTTTTCCACCATTCAATCTCCATTTATCACCGTTTAATCCGTCCAAATGGAGTCTATTCCCACTCCTAGGGTTTCATTCGTGCCTCTCGGTTTCCTTAGATTTCATTCGAGTCATTCTTCGATTTCGAGTTCCTCAACATTCCGCTGCATCCTTCTTCGTCAGAGAAGCTTCGAGGATATCAGGTTCGTGTTCGCATAGCCTCTATCATCATCACCTCGGACGTTCATCCATCAAGTGGTATCTAGAGCTTTGGTCGTCCACGCGTCAAAGGTAAGTATCGTGTTTCTGTTTCCTTCGTTGTTTGAGTTTTGTTTTCTTGATTCGGTCTTGTCCGAGTCATGTTTCGTTCATTTGATTCTGAGTCGTGTTTAATTTTGTTCATTCTCTGCGTTGTTTTATGATTCCTTTAATGTCTTGTGTTGTTTCGCTATTATGAGTTTCCTTCACTTATGCGTTGTTCATTACATCTCTCTATTGTCTTGATTTGTTATTCTGATTAGAGTTGTTGTGTTTCTTCTCTATTAGTGTATCGTGCATCTTCATTTAGTGAAATTTGTTTTCATGTGTTTAGGTTTCATAATTCTGATAAGGTTTCTTGATCTACGCTTATTATGCTTTGAATATTATTTTTCATCATTTTATTCGGTCCAATTGTCTTGTTTGAGTCATTTTTGTTTAAGCATCTTTTCCTGTATTGTTCTGTCATGTGAATTTGCTTCTACTGTTTTCAAATCTGGTTTAAACTAGTTTATCACTGTATCTGTGTAAACTGAATGTGTGAGCACTATCTGCACATTATATTGAGCTATGACAAATTCAATGAGAGCTCAAGTGCATGAGTGGTGACACCAATTTCAATTTCATATTCTTGAGCAGTAGTTTAAATTTTGTTGTGTTCATTTGCAAGCAAGTGGTGATTTGAATCTGTGATTTAATGTCTAAGAAGAGCTAGTCCTTGATGCATACCATATAAGCAATGAAATGCTTCTGCAAAAAGCTTGGTAGCATCATTCGAAGACTCTCGTTGCACCAATTCTGCAGTTGACCGATCTGCATAATTCCTTGCTTGAGTCCTTTTCTGATTTTAAATCTGTTTGGCATTTAGATCATGGTTGAACATCTTCCATCCATTTCATAGTGTTTTGTTCAACTTTTGTTTGCTGTTTTTTAGTCCTGTGACTTGTTCACATGTTGTTTCAACATTTGAGTCAA